TTTTTTGAAAGTAAAATGCTATATCTTTATCTACAATACACAAATGAAATATAATCAAATTCTGTTTACCCATTGAATGTTCTAATTTTTCTAAATAAAATGAAAAACCTATAAACATTAAAATAAACTAACTTGCCATATATAGAATAACTTTGTGTTAAATAAATGTGTAATAAAAAAAATAAAGAGCGTGACAACAACAATAACAAATTGCTTACTTAGATTCTCAACAGAATCTTCTAATTTTTCTAAATAAAATAAATTTAAAAGTTACAAAAGTCACTTGCTGACTGACAAACTGTCACAACTGACAAAAGTCAGTTGCTAAATCACTTTAAAGAAACTAAAAAAGCATACTGTATTTGCACACACACACAAAAAAAAAAAACAAAAAAAAAATTCCGGACTTAGCTTGTCCATTACTTCAGCTAAACATTAAAAAAAAGTTATAATTAACAAATTGCTGAAATTGGTGAAACATATATCTTTGTAACATATCCTGCTCATACAAAGTTAGCTTACTTGGCAAGATCTCTTCGGCTCTGATCTCTTGAACATCTAATATATATATATAGACAAAATTAATTTTCAAAATATTCACTTTTTTAATTAAACATATAAGACTTGTCTTAAATTATAAAACTGTTGCATTGTTTTACAATTTAACACATTCAGTAAATGACAAAAAGTTTCATTTTACGTAAAAGTTTAGTAGTTAAAAGACTTAAAAGTCAATTTTTTGCTTAAACACGTTTTATAAAATTACAGCTTAAACACCTTAAATAAAGCTTATACGCGTTTTTAAGGTTCACTGCTTTACAAAAACATCAATCAAAATAGCGGAATAAACAAAAACTAAGTTTCGGGTCCACCCTTTTAAAGTTTTAAAAATTAATTTATATATTTTTTAATTTTAGTTAAATTTTAGGGCGGTGTACTTGATTCACGGAGTTAGGGGAGGGCGGCGTATCTTGATTGATTTCGATTAAAAACGGCTAAAATAAATCATCGTTTTATTCACACGTGAATCAAGTACAGCTCCGCCACTTTTAGAACATATGTAGCTGCTAATATATATAGTATATATAAATGGCTTACTTTGAAAAAATGAAACTTCTTTGTTGCCTAAAGATATACAAAATTATCTTAATGTAATTTCTTAATAAAATAATAAGCTAAATATTTCAGTATTATTGACGTATCATCTCTTTTTATCTCTTTAATTAATTAATGTTATACAAAATAAAAAGAATACTTTAACCTTTTGTATCTTGACTGCTCATTTCTAAAAAATAATCCTAATGTTTATTATTGGGTCAAAAACTATTACCTTTAAAAAAATATTAACTTCAAACATATTAACATAGTAATTATAAAATAAGTTTAATTTTTTAAATAAAGATTACAATAATTAAACTTGTAGATACAATTTACTTGACGTCCCTCGCTTTGTGATTGTTATAATCGATATGAAGACCACATGGCCAAGTTTTATTGGTTTTAGAGTACAGTTGGCGCACATATCATAATACAAAAATCAGATGGTTTTGAATCTATTAATGAACCTGTTTTTATTAACGGATTTGGTAGATTTAATTAAATAACCGCAAGGTAGTTTTACAGTGGTTTAAGAGTTGGCGTACGTTTCGTAATACAAAAATCATTTAATGTTTGTTTATATCTTAATATTCGAGCATTTCTATTAGCAGATTAGGCGAAATTTTGTGGGTTTTCTGTTTGTCACCTTCTGGAATAACTTAATTTTTTTTTTTTTAGATTTTAAAATACAATTTTTTTTTTCAAACCTTTCCGTACTTTTTAGGACTCTTGACCAGTTAGTTTTAATAAAAATTTCAGTTTACATGTAAAACCTTTTTTTTTATATATAAGAAAGAAAGTTATCTCTTTAATGTGTGTTGAACTCGCAGACTTAACTAATTACCTAAAACATAAGTATCTCTATCATGATATATGCGCAACAAATTTCCAATAGCGTTTTCATGTTTTGAGAAATTTTAAAAAACGTTTTAAAAAATTCTCTCCGTTTGGTTTGTTATAGTATATTATATCTTTATTTATATGTAATGCGTATAACATCTATAAACTTGTTTTTCTTTGTTTTCTAGAAAACTGGAAAAGATTAAAAAAAAATTGTGTAAGCAAAAGGTTTTAAACCCAAACGAAGCACTTCAATGGCTTTGGAATGATATATCATCTTTTTACACTATTTAATAGACAGAAAACTTATTAAACTTTAAAAAACAACATTTAATGCTTTAAAATAAAAAGATATTGTCGCAATGAAATTTTTAAGTAAAAATAAATCAGTAGAATTTGATGTCATCTACTTTATAATAATACTGATTGATAATTAAAGAACTTAAAGTTTACATATTTAGATATTTGAATAGAATTTCGTTCACATTAATAAAATACAAATCATAACGGATTGTGGTTCCGAAAAAAAAAAGGTTAATACACTACCATCTATAATTATTGGAACGGTCATATTTTTTAATATCAAAGATATCAAAATTTGGCGAAAAAGTGAAAACAATGTCTACCTGAATTATATGTTATCTTCCTATTTATTAGGTTTACAAATAAAACTTCCCTGTTTAGTTTATAATTTATTCAAAACCCTGATTAGCTTTTAATTTATTTGCCTATTAATCACCCTTAACAACAATAACCGCCTTAAATATATTCTTAGCATTCTACTTAACGACTTATCTAATTAGTCTATTTTGTCACTATGTTTTTTCAAAAAAAAAAAAAAAAAATACACATGTATTAACTGTATATCAATTTATTTATCTATTTAATTTAATATATATAATATATAATTTAATACATATAATTTAATCTAATTAATATAATTGAAATACTACTAATCAATTTACTGATATTTTTTCTATAGCATTGTTAAAAATGGTTATATTCTAAAAGGTAAAGAAATTTATTGAAAAGAAAGTTGCACAAAAGAAAAAAAAAACTAAATAAAAGTTATTCGTTTCAAAAAACGTTTTACGAAGAGTTTTTCCAAACAATTTTATTTTTAATTGCGTTTTTTTTGAATTACGTCATAAGCATATTAAGGCGTTTTGAAAAACAGTTGCTGCATATATTTATATTAAAAAAGTTAATGTAGCAAAATAAAATTTTAATTGTCAAAAGAAAGTTTTAAAGTTTTATCTAGCTACAGGTTTCTTTTTTTTTGCCTCCACAGCAGCATCTTCTGAAGTAGCAGGGCTGTCTTGTTAAGTTTTTTCTTTATTTAGTTTCAGACAACATCCGCAGCTTATTAGGGCTAATTACATGAGCACATTAATATCATAAGTGTCTCAATTATCATAGATACGCAACATATTTTTTCTCCCGGTGATGTATTTTGTTTTTTTTAATGTTTTAAGAAGTTTTAGCTTTCTTAAAATCTTTTCTTTTGCGAGTGCATAACATCGTTACGTTACATGTTTGTATTTCATCTTTATAAAACTTCAAAAGTATTTTGTATTTTAAAATAATTTAAAAAAATAAAAAAAATAGCCGCCATTGGTAGGAGACGAACCACTAGTTCCTTGTTCATAAGTTCGCCGCCTTATCAACTCGAGCTACACCGGCATATCATCGAGTGTAGATTTTATAAAAATGAAGTAATTTTTTTAAGAAAAAAAATGTTAGATTAAAATTAAGGAGAGAATGACGCAATGTTTTTTCAAAACAAAATCAAACTGTAAAACATAATAAATGTTTCAGTATGTTTTAACATATGCTTTAACAGTACTTAATTTAAAGTTTACGTACGTTAGATATTCGTTCACGTATTCCTATAGTGCTGCGACTCTTTCTTGCCAATACATCGGTTGCAATGGCTGCCAAGGGTTTCGTGTCAAATACGCTCCAAGGGACACTACTACTATTAAGTTCGGCAATATTATATAGAAGATACATGTATTATTAGAAATAATTGTCGATTAAATCCTTACTTGAGAGCTCTATTAGTTTAAAACTTCAATTATAACTACAACTATATTTTTGTAAATCTCTACAATTTATACTATAGAATATCTAATAAATATATATTATATATTTAATATATATAGAAAAATATGATAAAGTTTTTTTTTTCGATTAGTATGAACGAGTTCGAGTAAATGATTTTAATTTTAAGTTAGGTAAAGAATCATGGTTTTGAACTCGAAAAAATTTTTTTTGAAGAAAATATTCTTTGCCTATTTTATTACCGTTTATAGTATATATTTGTTTATTAAATTATTATTCTAAATAAAAAGATATTATTATATAGCTATTTATTGAAACCAAAAGTAAATATTTGATAGCTATAAGTGATAGATATTGTCATAAGTTTTAAGCTAATGTCATATAAGTTTATAAGTTGCAGCAAAAGTCATTTTTTCGATAACGATTAACTATTTAGTTATATCCCATAACTAAATAGTTATTGGCATCAAAAAAATTGAAAAATTTATAACTTTCATACTGTTTTCTTTACCCATTCTGAAAATATTATATTCACGCTTGCGTAAAAGTAAGTCCAAAGGACGTCTGAGGATCTACCATTTTGCACTAAATAGTATGTCTTATGGACGTCCAAAGACGTCCCGTGCCTATTTGATACTACATACATATCACATTCTAAACTTTTACATGTTACAATCTATTAAATTTAATTCCACCATGACCACAATTTAAAGTTTTTGCGATTGACACTAACCATAAGGAATTGCTATGGAAGAAATTTGCTTTCATGCCATAGGCAAGAAACTATTTTGAAAAAAATAATTTACAGTATATATTTAGAAATTAGATTAGAAATTAATATTATCTCATTTCCTTAAAATGACAAAACAATTTCTTTCCTCAGTAGTTTATAAGGCTTTTCTATGATACTGTTAAAGTACACTAAAAAAAATTATATTATTACATTAGATTCAGTTATATTCAATGACTTGCATTATTGTTTTAAATTATTTGTTAAGATATCAATGAATGCACTAACTTAAACCCTCCGTGTTCTTGGAGTCATGGAGTATGCAAAAATACATTTGGTAGTTATTTGTGTTTGTGTGAAGTTGGATGGATGTTGGATAAAAACAGTTGTATAGGTAAGGCTTTAGTTATCAATTATATATATTTCACATAGTATTTATTGCATACATATATAAACAGTATATACATTGTTTATATGCTTATAAAAATTCATATGCATTTTAACTTATTTTGCTGTAAAAACGCGAATTAAATCTAAGCGTAAATTACTTTAAATAACTCATATAAAAATATATTATTTACTTACATTTAATAGTAATTCACTTTTTTTTACATAAATGATATAAAGTGTAAAACTTAATTACTTAAGTTTTATAAATGTGTAACTGTTACTTGAAAAAGTAGTTTACTTTTACAAGTAAAAGTTATTTGCATTTTTATTTTTACAAGTAAATGTATTCACTTTTAATTGTAAGTCGTATAAAGTAAATTACTTTGAAATATAATTTTGGTTATAATAATGTAAAAAAATTTACTTTAAAATGTAGTTCACTTTTTTATTGTAAAAAAAAGTTATTTATGAAGTAAACTTATATAAATATAATATTTAAGAAAAATAATATTTGAGATAGGTAGCGTATTCAAACCTATTGCCTCTTTGAGGGCACTTCTGGGTTATACTTCAGGTAATAGTTTCATTTAGGTAAGCAGTGTTTGTGGTGGGGCATCTGAAAAGAATTTTTTTTCACTTATATCATAAATGAAAGTTCTTTTATAATTAGGGGCAAATATAGTCAACATGCAGGTATACTAGAATAGTAGAGACGAGCTCCTGCCGCATGAGTATGCAAATAGGGGCTGCTTCTTTTCTTTTTTTTTTGTTGAGCAGAAATAGGTTAGTGACTATAATAAAACTTGGGCGGGAGGAGGGGGTAAAAAGGGCATATTTTCTAAGTTATGGATAATTCATGCATGTGTAAAATTTGAATAAGTCACTGTTCGTTAGAGCAAGTTTATTCTCCAGTTTTTTTTCTTGTTGCTTTTTTAATCAATTTTGTTATGGTAGTATGATGCAATTTTACATTATTAGGTTTCCGCAAGAACATTGACTGCTAAAATAGTTTTCAAAAAATTATTAGTCATTTAAACTATATCATATAAATTATATGATTCAAACAGTGTTTATCAGATATAATCTTTTATTGCATTTTATCATATACAGTATATTTGAAAATAGATGGTGAAGAAATTTGTTCAACCTTCTACTATAAATTGTGCGCACACTAACAACCTCTTTTTTGTTGCGTTGGCATTCAACCCGCAAACAGATAATTAGAAAAAAAAAAAATTAATCAATTAAAACAGTGCTTTAGAATAAACATTTTTTTTTGTCAAACGTTTGTTTGACTTTACACGATGTTTGTCGGCTATCAGTTGTCCCGGAATCTTGCCTTGATTTTTCACCTTTCAGACTAACTAGAGCTCTGAAGCTTCCAGCATTTGTGTAAATTTAATAAAAGTACATCTTAAATGTGTTTTCAAAGCCAACCGGAGAATTGCACTTTTATGAATCTCCCTTTTTTTTTTTTTTTTTGATTTCACTTGATTTTTCAGACTTTGATTTTACTTTATTTTGACAGCATTTGTGTAGTCCCGATGAACATGAGTGTTAAATTTGTTGCCTGGGCAAGGAAGATCATATTCTTAATTATTTTTCCCTAATGTTTTGTTTTTCTTTAAAGTTGGGATTTATAACTTTTTTGAAAAAAAAGATTTTTTGCAAACAGGTTTTGAAAAGGCACTTTTTTTTGAAAAGGCATTTAATTTACTTGTTTATGTATTAACTTTTTTGTCTAGAGGAAATAGGTTAGTAACCCTAATAAAAATTTATCGTAAAGGAGCGGGCGTGTTTGTAGCTATGCTGCTGCTTTTCGTTTTTTTTATTCAGCGTTGTTGTTGTCAGGGCCGTACCGAAGAAGTCTTCAATCGGGGTATGTGGTGAAGGGAAGGGAGTTATATGTGTTTTTTGACAACAAGAGACAAACACATACAAAAAAAATTTCTTGATATCTGTCATTTGCCGACAATACTTCAAAGCTCGTCAATTGAAATGTACAAATTTTAAAACTCAAATGCATATATAACAGCTTGGGGAAAGGAGGAGAATACCTCCTTCACCCCCTGTACGACACGGCTCTGGTCAGCCCTTGTCGTAACAACCACTCCAACAGAAACGAAAAGTATTAGTATTTTTTTAAAATTTAATATTAATAGCTATTCATAAAACTGTTGCCTGAATTAAACTAGTTTTATTTAGTCTATTCCAGACAAACACTATTCCTCTATTACACTATTATCTAACAATTATTCTAGTTAGTCATTTCCAGAAAAAACTTTCGTTTTGGTTAGATTGGTGTTTAACAACAACAATGCTGAATAAAAGAAACTAAAATACAAAACATAGAATAAAATTGCAAAACATAGAGCCATTTCGAATGCAAGTAAAATAAACGAAACTGCCAGTTGAAAAAACCTTGAAATAACTTATGTAAATAACAACAAGGTTAATTAAAAAAAAAAATTCAATTTGAAAGTAAAAGTAAAAGTAATTAACTTAAAAAAATTTATAACTTTTCCTAACCACACCAACCACTTATTTTAATTTATTTAATAAATCGAATTTAGTAGGATGGTTCAAAAAACGCACACTTTCAAATTTTAAATTATATGGTCAATAATGAAGAAAAATGTCTTGATGTTATTTTATCATACAGATAAAATAACATCAAGTCTTTTTTTTACGGTAAATTTTTGATACTTTTCTTGCTTTATATCTTCAAAAATTTAAAGTAAAAATGTTAACAAAAATGGTAATCATAATATTTAAACAATCAGGTTCCAATCACATCTTTAAAATCTGGCCCGTAAGAAGCTTTTTGTTTTTGTTTAAGAATTTAACTTTATGTAACGTTTTGGAGCGACCTCCAAACATTTATATATTCATATTTATGTAAAGTTTATATGAGCCTGTTAACAATAAACCCCTAAAATAATAACTTACCTTTCATGCCCTTTCATTAGTGTGAGAGTAATGAGTTTAAAACATTTATATGTAGGGTAGAGCGGGGCTTGTTGAGCGTTTTTTACTAAATCTAGCTGATCTCTTGAACGATGCGTCGGATTTACATAATTTTTTGAATATTTGAAGGAAAATTTAACCAGCTAAATATTTGTTAAGAAAAAAAAAAAAGTTTTTGATTTTATTGAGAAGATACCCAGTCAGCCATTTGATATCGTAATTATACCACATTAATCTCATACTGTCAGACCTATGATATCATAGCATGATACATTCATGAGATTAATATAATATCAAAATTAAGTCACACATTTATATCAATTTGAGCTCAAATTTGATATCATAATTTGAGAACTTTATGATATCAAAAGTTGATATCATCCTGTACTCAGAATGTGATGTCATATTTTAGAAGTTCATGGTATCATGATTATGTCAAAATAAAATCACACATTGATGGCACCCCAACCTTAAAATTTGATATCATATTATGATATTCTCATGAGAAATAAATTGTCTATTTTATATTCAACCATTTCATTCAAATATTAAAACACCACTGTATATAAAATATAATACAGCACTTTCAATAAATTAGTAAAAACACTTTTCATTTTAACCTCGACAAGTTGTTTCACTATCAATAGGTTCATCAGGATGATTGTCTAAACCTCAAAAAATTAAAATTATAGCAAAAGCATTTCATAGAAAGTTGAGAACTGTTGTTATTATTTCTGTAATAACTGTAGTTATTATACACATTTATGCAATATGATATTAACGATTTTACCCCTCAATTACAGCAATTATTCTCGGCCTTCCCATTGTTACATTACAGCTTTTGTGCGTAGTTTTTTCTTTCACGTTTCGTTATGAAAATAAACTCAAGTTTTTTATGCAATTTTTAAATAGATGATTAGTGCTATCTGTAATTTCAGAGTGTATTTCTCCAAATTGCTTTATCTAGAACATCTGTTGTAGTTAACGGGTAAAAATCTATTATAAATAAAAATAAATGTGTATTTGTTTTTACAATTAATTTTAAAAAACCAATTTATGCACCAATTGTTTTTTTTTTACTGTTGCAAATAAATATTTTTTTTGAATAATATAACTTATTTTGTCTAGTTTAATTTTACTAACGTGCTCTAGCTCACTTTTTGGAAATACTACCTAGAGGAAAAAATCGATCTCGGAGCAACGTCGGATCGACATTGTTCCATGTCAAACGTAAAATCGACGTTGGATCAACTTCGGTTTTACTTTTGACATGGAAAATATATGCGACGTCAAAAAAAAAGAAGGATTTTTGGGAATTGCAGTATTCGGATGTATTTTGACGTTAAATTTTAAATCTACACGGAATGGTATTTGGAATCTTTTAACATTAGTTCGAGAAATAACTTGAATCCTTCCTACTTTTCTTCTAACAACTTAATGATTTGTGATCCCAATAAATTTTTTGAATCTTATAAATCATGCTTTGTTTCAGTTCCGGATGAATTACAGAAAAAGATTCACTCAACCAATACTTACTAAATATCTTAAAAATATCTTAAAACTAAATATCTTTAAAATCCTAATTTTAAATCAATAGTCATAAAACTTACAGACAAAAACGAAGTATTTTCTATTATTCATTCTCTTAATAAACAGCAAGACTTCGGAACCAAACAGCATTCCAATACCTATTTTTAAAGCTCTTGCAAATAATATCTCCTGTACTTTTTGAACTATTTAATATTTCATTCATCACCGATGTATTCTTTGATATTTTAAAAACTGTTTCTGTTATTTCAGTTCATGAAAAAAAAAACTCAAAACTTGATGTAACAAATACAGACCAATTTCAATATTATCAAATGTCAAAAAACGTTTAGAAAAACTTATGTATTCTCGTATTTACAACATTTTGGATAATTCTGCTTGTTTTCATATTCGACAGTTCGGCATTCACTCAAATTACTCCACTTCTCATGCTCTTATTAGCATTACTGAAATGATTCATGGTGCAATTGACAATGGTTTTTTCATGTG